TGGGACACACTTGAAACAATGAGAAGACACGCAAGGCTCTCCACTATATACAAGATGTGCCACGGCCTCCTAGATGGGGATTGGGGGGATTATTTGATAACAAGCAAAGAAAGGAGAACCCGGGGAAGCCATGATTTTAAATTTATTGTACCGAAAGGACATAAAGATATTTTTAGATTTTCTTTTTTCCCAGGACAATAACTGAATGGAACAAACTTCCAGAAGAAACTGTTTCCAGCCAATCCCTCTGTATTTTTAAAAGCAAACTAATTTAGTTTTATTTTTTATCAGTAGTTTTTAATAGTTTTGTATATTTTAGTATAGTTTTATTTATTATTATCTTAGAGTTGGCGTGATGTCCCAAACGATTTTGCCGACATAACGATATTTAGATTTAGATTTAGATTTAGTATGTGTCAAATCAATATATTAATATTCACATGGACAAAATAGGATGAGTCGTCGAAACTCCCATGATGGATAGTACCTACAATTGCAAAACTCAACAAAATGCCTCTTTAACCGGCCAGGAAAGACAAGGATACGTTCAGTTAAAGGTATCTTAGCTTTGTTTTGTTATACTGTGACTTTTGGACTATTTTAGTTCATGGGAGTTTGGACGACTCATCCTATTTTGTCCATGTGAATATTAATATATTCATTTGACACATACTACGTCTGGGCCACCTGTGTACCCTCTAGTCTTTATACAACCCTTTTAAACACAGGAAAATGTTTTATATTATTTTTGTAAATAACGTTCAGTCCTTTTAATTATAATACCATTAAAAATGTTTTTGAGAGATTTTCATTAAAAACGTTAACCCGTCTACCCAAAACAGGGTCCAGAGATGACAAATCTATCTGGATTTGTTCGCCACAATACTAGCTTGAACACAAAACCTAACCAACCCTTGCTTCAGGAGCCGGCTCCTGCTTGCTTTGTAATCATTTTAGGCTCGCAAACATAAATCACGCTGATCGTGTAGTCACCATGTAGTCTCTCTGAGATTAAAACCGTCTTCTAGTGTTTTAAAAGCCATTGTTAGTTAGATTTTTGTTTATTGTTGTGAGGAGGGTATTGAAGATCAATATCTGTCTTTTAACTGTAATCGATTTTAAAGTTACGTCTTAGTTAGGTGATAGCTACACTTCGTTCTCTGGTCCGACGGAGTGGGCGAACTCGGCTGATTTTGAAAAGAGTCGGTAGGTTTACCTAGTAATTAAATTAATCCGATACAAAAAAGCATTTAGCGGTAAAGATTTACTAGTTACTTTCGGTCAATTATGCTCCTTTTTATACAGTTTTTATTATTATTATTATTATATTTTATGGTGACTGGCGTAATATTTAGTCAGTGATCATGATATCACATCATTACTAGCAACAGTGATAAAGAGCACTGGCTCTCATTATATACTTGGTGTCTGATCATCTATGAAATACAACACAACTTTTTGGTGAGTATTTCTCAGTATGTATATAATACTGAAATAAATATTTAACAATTATTCCTCGCGCCCGAATGGGCTCTGGGTCAATTTTAGCTAGTTAAAGCTAGACTTTAATCCTTTTTTACCGCCAAAAAGCGCACGCTTTTCGTTACTAGTAGGCTATAACATATAGCCTAGTAGTAGCTCAACCAATCAGAACGCAGCGTTGATTATAGACCACTAGCTGGATTTTACTAACGGGACATTATTCTTTCAGGACTTTGCAAGCTGCCAAGCCACTTGAGCTACGTGATGGCTAAAGCTGTAGAAAACTTTGCCAAGATCTCCGCTACTGATTTGCTTAGCACAACTCCAAGTCTTTTTGGGTGGCTGAGAAAAGAAGGGAGAACCGGATTACTGTCTGTGTTCAAGAAAATCGATAGATGTAAGTTCTATCTGCCATTGGTTTAACTCAGTTGAAGTCGAGTTAATTCCTTAAAGGGGCTCTGTCACGGTCGTTTATTTTATTTTGTTACAGTATAGTGTATTGCGAATAACCGCGCTTACTTATGCTGCGCAGAAGAAAAAAAAAGCTCGAAAATGACAAAATCACTGACAGCTTCTTGTCGAAGACTTATATCTCGCAAGCATTATAAAAATGATACAAACAACAAATGAACTTCGAAAAACTGTTAAATTTTTAAAAGGGTGTCAATGGGGTGTTAGCTTTAACGGTTGACGGTTATTTACTAGTGGAAATATATATAGTCTTTGCTATTTTGACCCTTAAGCCTCGGAGTCATGTTAGAATTTTAAATATCGAACATGAGCTACATTATAACTTTTGTGTTTTGGAGGTTGGCTTAACCTTTCACATGTGAAATTTCTAAATATTTTCAGATATAAGCAAGTTGTAAGGTCTAGTAAAGTCGACTATAGAGAGTGTGTTTTTCGGAGAACATGGGAAATGTTTCCTCAGTAAGATTTAGCACGTGGTCATGAAAGACAGTTAGCCTTAAAGCAGGGGTGAAAAGAGTGCCTGGCTTGATAGCGCAACTAAGATCGACGTTACAGCACTGCACCTCGAGTATCGCAGAGGTCATGGTTTCGAATCTCGTTTAAGCATGAGATTTTTTTTTCACTTTGGTTCGAAGTTTAAGCATGATTCTTTTTCACTTTTCGCTTTGTTTTAGCGGGCGACTGTTTAGTTGCTATGCCGAACGTGTTTCGCGTGTGAAATGATCCCCTGATCCCGCATTTCTACGCGTACGGTATATGAAATTAAATACATTCACATTTATAAGGATGGCAATGATTACTTTTGTACTTAAAGGCTGCTGCCATGTCGCCAAGCAACGATAGAGACGGGGTCATGACAACTCATTGCGCTGGAAACAACTGGTTGAATGTCAGGCCACAAAGTCGCATTTATAAGAAAAAAATTATCGAGTCCTACTTTGCAATTCAGATATTTTTGCAGTCACTTAATTGATAAAAGAATAAGTTTAAAAGAAAGAAAATTGAGAATTTTGTCAAATTTCTTTTTCATCTGCGTGTCGTTTCAGCGTCGTTTACGCAGCTGGTCACTTCCTCGTATACCGACTGAAGATGACTGTACAATTTTTTACACTGTACTTTCCGGCCTGGGATAACCTCAGATTGCTATTAACTTTGATTAATTACGCCAACAGGCTATAAAAACATTAAAGAAATGATAAACTCTAAACTGATAAAAAGACGTGAATAACAACAGAAAATACAAAGGAAGGCACGAATGGCAAAATAATTGCAGTTGCGGTTTTTGAAAACTTGTTAGGCTAATCGTTTTTATTGTTTGTTTATGCCTTGATAAAATGGTTTGGGGGAGATATTTGTTTGATATACGATTCGTAAGCTGTGATTTTGTTATTTACAACCAGTAAATTCCTCGGTAACGTCAAGTTCCTTGGCGATAAAAGGCGCGTCGAGTTATAGGAAATAATAAACCAATGAACAGCAGCCCCTTAAATACTCTCTACCGGATTTAACGTTGGAAAAGAAATCACTGGTTAAGCAACAACAAAAAAGCACTTTGAAAAACTGTTACAAGTTTTGAAACCTTGTAAAACTAACGGTTTTAAAGGAAAAACTTCGAAATGGCCTATATTGCAATCCTTTTTAATATTCTTCTAACTTTCACTCTAGAGAAGGCGACACAATCATGTTTACTGATGTGAACTCTTACGAACCAGCTTAATTAACAATTCCCCTCAATTCTCTTTTTTTTTATAGGGCCCTGGTTTTATGTGATCCTGAAAACAGGATATTTGTACTTGTTCAAGAAGCCCGATTCTCAAAATTTTACGGAAGCCATTTCACTAGAGAACTACAGGTAAACCATGATTTGCATTTTCCTTTCGTGAAAATCTTTTAATGGTATATGTACAGGAATGAAGGTGGATCGAAATTTCTCTAAGCCAACAATTTGATGTTTGGAAGCCTTATACAGAATGGCTACTTAAAATTAGATAAATAGCGAAAGCTCTTGTTAATATACCTACGCAAACATAAAATAACATCGTGCAATTCAGACCCCTCCAGAAAATACCATAACATTAACTGTAATGTTCTTTGTTTGCGACCTCAAGATTTTTTAACTCCCAAAAGAAACTGAAGACAATGTGTATGCGAAATTCTGGGGTGACAAACAAAGAGCATCATTGTATGTAATGGTATTTTCCGGAGTGGTCAATGCTAAACGGCGACGGCATTTTGAACTATCAACTCCCTAAAAATTACTGTGCAAGTTCACGTATCCAGATTCGTGTGGACGTAACCTTAGAGTGAAAACCAACATTAAAAATATCTGTTCTTTATGTGTTCTTAAACTACTCGTCTTTTGTGTTTATGTGCAGAGTATGTCATGCCCAAGAAGTTACCAAATACCCATGGGTTTTTAAACTGATAAGTTCAACAGAAGTAAAAACTTTGTTTTTTTCTGTGGATACAGAATATGATTTAAAGGTAATTTATTAATAAATACTTATTCTGTTTTATTTATAATGCCTTGAATTTATGGATATTTTAAGTTCAACGTGGTGTTTATGGTATTGTAGCTAGTAGTATTATTGCTTTTCAATTTAAATTTTTTTAATTAGACGTTTGTTGTTGTTTTTTGTTACAGAAATGGATGGTTGCAATTGTGAAAGAGAAAGAGGAATATATTAGGTAAGTAGCCGAAAATGAAAAAAACTTTTAGTGGCCGGTAACTTCCGATAACCTGTTATCTGCTTTGTTCCCAGTCTCCATCCAACCCATGAAACCACGGCCACCACGCAAGAGCAACGAAATTGTCGCTTCTTTGGTTAGAGGTTATCATTAGATCCCATCGCCCGTAGCGCCTTCGGACACCTCATGAAATTTACACAACGCAGTTTTCCCCTTTACTAATAAGGGTTAAGCACTGCCTTTTACAGATTAGGGTTAAGGACTGCCTTTACTGATTAGGTGATTAGAGTTAAGCACTGCCTTTTCGGCTGATTAAGGTTAAAACTAGTTAGGTTCCTTTTTTAAGTTGGGGTCGATGCTATATGTACTTGAATTATTTCCTCACCATCCAACAAATCCTAAGTGGTTTAGTGGTTAGTGTGGTATACTGGGTCTTCTGGATAGTGGGTTTGAATCCTACTGCCCTTCATATCAATTTTTTTCTTTCAAATTGAAGAGACTTGCACTTTCATGAACATTTCTAGCTTGAAGTATCATCCAAGTGTGATATAAAAGCAGAAAGCAGAAAACAGTTCTACCTTGAGTTCAGTTCTACCCAGTTCTACATTTCTAGCTTGAAATATCATCCAAGTGTGATATAAAAGCAGAAAGCAGAAAACAGTTCTACCTTGAGTTAATTTTATAAGGGGAGAAAGGGACTACGGTAGATGGGATCTAATGCTGACTTTAGTTGGTCGAAGGTAGCCTGTGTACAGACGTCCCCCAACTCGATTTCATTTGAGGGGAGGGGGCAACTGTACACACAGGCTAGTCGAAAGCTATTTTCCGAGAGCACTTTCAAGGAAATTATTCTCCTAAAATAATAATAACAAAAGGTATCATTGCAGAGTTTACAGGGAATCCAGGTAGCTGAGAAAGTGATTTAATTTTCTATATTTAAGCACCAACGCCAAGTAAAGCAATTACTAACAAATGGCATTCATGTTCATTGTCCGACTAGTCATGCGTACTGCGATATTGATTATCCACCACCAGCTGATAGCCAAAGATCCCCGCCTCCTCCACCGTCAACTTCAAGGAGACTCCCTGAACGGCCTCCAGCCCGTCTTCCTGATGAACCGTCGTCAAGACGACCATACTCACTGTCCCTTCCCCCTGAATCCTCGGAAAAGTACAGTCAGCAAAGCAAACCATTACCTCCCCCACCCAAACAAAACAGCCCGAATAAAAAGCCCGCAACTCTACCTCGTCCACTTCCAGAGGCACCGGAGGCACGAGGAGGGAAGCTTGGACATCTCACAAAGGCAAGAAGAAGCTTCTCGGAACCTCAGTTAGGAGTACAACAATCAGGAGCAGCATTTGACGGTGTGGTAAAACAGCTCAATAAACAAGGCAACAGATTAGGTCATATTCAAGAAACAGGTAATTAATCATTTATTTTTAAGCACTTTTGAAATGAATTGTAGACAAGGCATTTAGACAAATTTTCCTACCAGACGACGGACCAGTCAGCACTTGCGTACGACAAGCCGTGATTGGTTCTTACCTACTTATAATAAAGCATTGTGTTCACTTGTTTTTTCTTCAGCCCCTGCACCTCCGCGTTCTCCAAGACCTGCTGCATCTAATCCTCTGAGATCAAACACCCACGGAAGGTACAACTTCACTAGCCTGCGATTAGAATCTCCAGTTACTGGAACTTGCAGCGTTCGCCTTTTTCACTTGTTGAAAATCATTTTCGTTTTTTTTTATAATCATCATAATATTGTGGGTGACAAATTATGTTAATTTGTGAAATTACAAAACTGCCATGGCAACATTCGGTATTTTTTAGTGTCAAGATGGCGTCAAAGTTTAAGATTTTGTGAAGATGTCAAGGAATTAAAAGACGGTTTATAAAGCCTAACCACACGAAAGAGCACATCAAAAAATGTTTTGTCAAAAAAGTCAGAAAAATTAACTTTTCAGTGCGAAGTTTTCGATGCGATAAATAAGTAAAAAACCCAAGATTGCGAGTGTAATTTTTTACCCATGATATTAACAAGTAATCGCATGTTATACTTGTGAAGTTAGGGAATAATTTCACTTGCGTTTTGTCCACATTGAAATACTGACTTTTTCGAGCCTTTACGTATTACACTTTATTACTTATTGGCTACTGATGCACACTCGTACGGGACTGGAACGTTAAGGCCAATTAAGACTCTTGGGGAAGGGGAATAGAGTCTCTGTAAGGGAGGGGAATAGAATCCCTGATAAGCACCTTGCGTTTGTCGTGGCGTAAAGCAACGTTTGGAAAAATAGCCCCGTTAATATAAATCTTCTGTACAAAAGCAGCGCTATAGAGAGTAACTTAATCTTTGCCGTTGCCCGCTCCAGTATATTATTACTGGCATTTTGTGGCTTTATCGATCTAAGTTTTTTTTAATCATTAATGCTTTTTCATGTACTATCTCCTTATGCGTTTATTGTGTGGGGTAAGTCCCCATGATATGTCGACCATTTAAATATTAGTTGCATTAGAGGTGTCTTCCTGTGTCCGTTAAAAAATTGATTCTTGTATACATCTGCCTACGTTTAAATTTCATTCTCAGATGTCCCCCAGACGGATGTGAAAACGCCAAAGTGAAGCAGGTTGAAGTGAGTTGGCCTTGTTTGTAATTTAGTTTCAAAAGAATGGTACCTCATCATGATCCTAGCATAATTTGATCTTGACTTCAGATGGAGTTATTTTTCCGAGCGCTGTGAACAGCTAGCTCAAGTAGGTGATCGGACCTTTGCTTTACACACACTCGCTAGGCAATGAAGGCAGTCCTTATGCCAACGTAGCAAGGCCAGTCAATTTTGGAATTGCTCAGGGTAGTATTCCGAAGAGACAATGTGTTGCAACACTTTTTAACGATAGCTTTCTGAATGCATTGCAGGTTTCCCAAGCTTTTAAGGAGGACGCAGATAAAGAGACGGCAAGCAGGTATCGTTTTCCTAGTTTAAAATGCGAAAATGTACTTTGACAGTTACAAAGGGTTACGCCTTGACTAAATTGATTTCTTTTTTTAAGAGGACAGCCCTGCACGTAGCATGAGTATTTGTCTGAAAAGTCTTAGTCATAATAAAGTTTGCACTTATGGTTTTCCACTAAATAACTGAGGCACGTAAATGTTCGCATATCAGTAAACTCGCCATTGAAAAATTGTTTCAATTTTCACCCTTTCTTTAAAGAAATCACCATTTTTTGCTTCTCTCCAGACTTTTGAAACCGGAGTTGTTAGGAACATACTTGACACGTCCCGGCAATTCAGAATCAGGAAAGGTAAGTGTTGAGCTCTTTATCTTGGTTCTATTAATCAGTGAAAGTAAAAACTATTAAAGATTTGTGGAAAGGGTTGGCTGGAGGTGCGAAAATGATGAACCGGGATCTCGTTTTGAGAGCCTGGGACTCAAACTTGTTCTTACCCCGAAGTTACAAATTCTAAAACAATAGAACAACTAATACTGACGAACAGCAATATATTAAATTAAAAGGTGGTTTAGTGGAGTAGCCAATATTGCCATTCTTTCACTTAATACTCTTAGGTCTAGGCCAAACGTCGAACTTTTCATGAGACGAACCAAGCTCTTATTTGGTTCGGCCTAAATTACCATCTTACATTTTTGTTGGGTCAGATCAGACGTCGAACTTATTAGGACGCGTCGAACTATAATCAACTGAGTAAGATCAGTAAAAATTTTCTTATGAACGAGGCTAAATATACAGTATCATATAAATTTTTGATTTATCAGTTTAGTTTGCCGCATGTGAAGATCGACGTTTGTCCTGGGGACGATCTTCAGACGTTATATCCGTCTGAAGCAGACGGATAGAAGATGTTGGACGATCCAAACTCATTCAGACGAACTTAACTGAACCAGACTTCGAACTTCCATGAACTTAACTCACTAGGTTTCATTCGTTTCATGAAAAGTTCGACGTTTGGCTTAGCCTTATTTCCCTTAACAGGTAATGTGACGACACGAAAGACCGCCAATTTTAATTGTGGCACTCTAGGTAGTTGAAACTTGTTCAGAAATTTCGCCCCCTATAGCGTACACACCTGCCTACTCATCAATTTTGCTCCCTTGGGTTGTTGGTGAACTGGTAGCAGGTGAACGCAAAATCTGTGCTTTTTTATATGTATGTAATTTACAGCTAGCGTTGTGGAGTAAACTGGGAATGATTGATGATTACTCTTCAGGCTGTATTTATTGATTTTCCCGCATTTTCCCGAATTTTCCCGCTCTTTCCAGTCTTTGTCAGTGCGAGACAAGAATGAAGACGGTACATCTCTAATCAGGCACTACAGGATATTCTTTAAGGAGGTTAGAATTGTGCTCATTTAGGTTTACATTGAGGGAGGAATTAAGATCCTAGCACCAGCAAGACCCTAGAAGGGGGATCATCCTAGCACCATATGTTTTCTGTACTCGGGTTTGAAGGCAAAGGCAGATTGCACTTCAATCAAGCGCTTGGATCTTCCTAGGAAGATCTTAATACTATTTAAACTGCCTTGGCTAGGAAGATTTAGGGACAAAACAAGACAAAAATGGCGGCTGGTCGTTCAGTGGCTAATCATGGCAATTATGAAGGCCGACCATTTCGTTTTTCGTTACCGCGAGCTGATTATTATCATGGTAATTCTGCTGAAAGGAAGTTATTGACACCAGTAAAGAGAGCAGAATGGCATTTTTGTTTTTGTCGCCCTCCATTTTTAATTCCTTCTCGAACCTTTTCTACTTGGGCACCACACGGACAAAAAATGTCTTCATTTAACCCCAACGTAAAGCAGTGTTCCGCCTTGTAGGATCGTCCCGGTGCCAGGATCTTCTTTTCTCTATGTAAACAGTCCCTTGCTGTTTTGTCCTCTTGAGTTATAGAAGGTTCGTTTTAGTTACATTTTTTCATACAAACCGTGGCTTATTGTTTTTAAGAGATTTTAATCCTTATGGTCAATAAATTAATGAAAATTTGGTACCTACGTCCAGTAAGGGCTGATTTATCAGACTCGTTTGACTCGTTTTCATGTGAATGTTGCCCGTAGCAACGGCAACCCGACGAGGCGTAAAAATTTTCCCGCCAAAAATTAACGCATGCGTACCATGCGTTCGCGTCTTATGTAAAACGCGAAGGTCATTTATACGAAGTTTTTCTGGTCTTAGCTAAGACGCGCCTTATCTAAGAACAGGTGTTAAGGGCTGTTCTAAAATAAGACGCGTCTTAACTAAGCCGCGTCTTATTTTAGACGAAATGTGCCGTTTATACGGAAAGTTCGCGTCTTATTTAAGACGCGTCTTATTTTTCCTCGTATAAATGGCCCTATTATGCTTTGGCCTTTAAAAAATGTAAAAAAGGAATAAGATATTGTTTAAATATTTGTTATTCTGATACAAGGTTTTTGTCCACTGGAGTTAAAATTACTCAATTTCCTGATGGATTCTGTCTTAAAATCTTTTAAAATACCTTGGAATCAAGTCAAAAGTGGCAGGTTTTCAGTAGGCAACGTTGCCATATTGGAAAGAATCAACGTTTCGGGACCATACTTCCTTTCGGCTTGGCCAAACCCAGGGAAGCATCATTAGGGCCATTTATACGAGGAAAAATAAGACGCGAACTTTCCGTATAAACGGCACATTTCGTCTGAAATAAGACATGCTCGTATAAATGGTACAGTTCGCGTCTTATTTAAGACGCGTCTTATGTAAGACGCGTCTTATTTTTCCTCGTATAAATGGCCCTATTGAGTAAATTCCACACCTTAGAAGATGATGAAAACAACAAATTTTAAAAGTCAGAGCAGAGAAGTTTAAAATAATTCGATTATTTTGTTCTATTTTATGGCTCGTAATTCGTAAGCGATGTAAAATAAATGAGATTTAAAGGCTGACCTTAGTGTCCACAGACCACTTTTCTTTATTTGCTTACACACGCCCGAAAATATGCTAGAACTGAGCAGATTAGACGAAGAATGTTGAAATCAGACGTGTCCTTTTTCATGAGAACGGTTTCTTCCTTGCATAGAGAGTCAAAACAAATATTGAAGAATGGTAGCTAGTGTGGCTTCCTAATAATAAAGAGTTGATTGCATTATTTTGTAGTACACCAAATGTCTTTGCATACGACCTTTGTCTCTATGAATGCAATCGTACCTTTTCTTTTCATTTTTATATGTCGTCGTTGTTTGGAAAGAAAGGTAGACAAGAGCCCCCGTTTATTTCAACTTGCTTCCTATAATACCTTGATTTTTTACCTTGTTTTCTTTTTTTGTTTTGTTTTTGCAGGGTGTCGGGTACAGTTTGGATAATAGAATCGGACCATGGTTTGCTGAAATTTCACAAGTTCTGGGTCATTATTATAAACACCAGCTACCAAATTCCGAAAACAAACTTCGTTCTCCTTATCAGCGTTAAATTGTTTATAGTATCAAGAATTATGCGTTTTTAATAGAAGTACTTAAGAAGTGATAAGAGAAATGGTCACTTCGTGCGATTAAGTATTTCAATTGAAGACGTGAGTTTTAAATTTTGACACATATGACAGATGAATGAAAACGAACACTGGTTTCTTCATAAAATGCCTGGTAAAGCACCGGACGGATGTAATTGTACGTCATAAGGTCTCGTAATTGGACGTCACAGAGCAAGAGTTCTTTTTCCAAGAAATCACCATATTACACCGGATATTCATTGTCTCTCTGTCCATTGATCATTTTACTAACCCACGTTTAGACGTAACCTCGCAATCCAACCCAGCCGCCTTCCCCTGCGCGGCGTTTTCTTCCCAGGGGAAGGGGAGGCTACAAGTAGCTCTCAGTAGACCTCTTTGCATGCGCTTACGGCTGATGGGATAAAAGCGATGACACGTGGTTTCTCAGAGGTCCAACAAGTGATGAAATCTGATAGTAGAAGAAAGCGCGGTCGAATTTGTTTTTTTTTAGACAACAGAAAAAGACTGAAGACATGTTTAACTTAAACACTTATGGGTTGAAGTTACCTTTGTTACTTGTTGGGATCACGTTAAGCGGTCGTAAATGACCTCACAGCAGCAACAATGACGTAAAACTTGTCGAAACTTGAACTGTGTATTTTCCAAAACTAAAATCGCATCCTCGGTTTGAGAGAATGAACAAACTCGGTAGTGAGTACTCGTACTCGTATTGGTATCACTTGATTGCCTCCAGTCCTGCCTGAATACCACGTGACATTGATTTTATCCGAACAATTCTAAAGCGCGTACAAAGATGCGAGCATCGTGAATAGGGTCTATTCACTTTATGTATCTTTACCAACTACGAGTTGAACACACAAGATAAATTAGTTTGTTTCTCGCTTGACTACAAATACATTTCAACAGTTAACAACGTGAAGGAGGATAGACCGTCAGGTTTTTTTAGAGTTGTGTTAGTTCACTGGCGATTTGAATCAATTGATTTTTTTTTTTACAGTTTTGGAAGGTGTCTCCAAACAAAATAAATGTAATCAAAATAACAATGGTGCCCTGCTTATACCATTTAACAGAGATTTTATAATGCCCTGCTTCTACCATTTTACAGCGATTTTATAATGCCCTGCTTATGCCATTTTACAGCGATTTTATAATGCCCTGCTTATCCCATTTTACAAAGACTTTACAAGTTCCATGTTACAGAGATTTTATCACTATAAATGTAAATTTACAAAGATTTTTCAGAGTGTTTTGGTATGTCTGTAAAAGTTTTAGTCTTCTTACTAATTCCAAAGGTAGAATTTACAGACTTTTAATAAACATTCTCGATTCAAAAAATATATAAACATTATAAAATGTCTTCAAAATGATTTTACAGACAATATTTTTTCTCTGTGGGGAGAGGGGGAGATTTTCTATAAATTGTTTCCTGTGACTGGTCGAAGAGCCGCGCTCGCAATACAAAGTTATTTTGGAGTGTTTATTTTTTCTGTCATGGCGTATGCAAACCTTGCAACACGCTATAACGTACTTGTAACTCCATTGATGAAGGGCCAGTCCCGAAACGTTTGAAGAGGAACTCAAACCGTTCAACCGTTTTGTTAAACATTCCCTTACTTACTGTTCTATACAGATACAAGTTAATTTCTCTGTATTACTTGTTGCTACATGTTCCACTGAGAAAAGTCCCTGCCCTGGCTAAGGACACTAAGCAAGGTCTGGAAGCGGGATCCTGATCCCAGAATTTCCGTCAACTTTATCCCGAATACCCTTCTCTTTCCACAATACCTCGTCTCGTGCCAAAAATTTGGCGAAACCCGCTTCCTAATTTTTTGTCAAATCCTGTATACCGAAGAAAAAAAAGAATACTCTCCCACACTCTCGAGTACTAACTATGTAAATAAACAGAATGCATCTTGAGCGAATTTTTCAAGTGAGACTTCGTTATTTTCGTTATCAGGCTCACATCAGATGGAAGGTTAAATATAGAGAAAAAGCCAAAAGCTGACTGAACTATATCAGCGCTCTGAGTTCAGACGTAAGAAGTGCAGCATTTGTTTTTTTATTATTTAAGGTGGCAATGATAGCTCATTCCCTTCATCGCCAATGTATTTTCCTGTAAAAAAAAGCAATGATATTGTGCGTCGACGTGAATATCTTCAATCCATCTTCACATGGCATGAAGTTTATTTTAAACGAGGGAAAATAAGCCGCGGCTTACAAAAGACGCGGAAGGAATTTGCCTCATCGATAGAGCTATTTGCTTTGAAACTAAGTAAATAGCTCGACTTGCATCATAGGTGGTGTTGTCAAAAGATGATGGTCCCTCTGTCCTATTATGGCTCTTGTCTCTACACAAGACTTCCCTTAACTGTAGGATTTAGGTCCAGTCAGATAATTATTCAACTCGAGTTATATACGTAGTGCAAAAGCAAAGCTACCACAGCTCCATCAATGAAACAGGCAGGCCCTGGACTTTACGAAAAGGTCGACTGTCGATACTAGACTCGGAGTAGTTACAAAGTCTCAAAGTTGGACACCGCTCAGACCGGCACTCGCTGTCGCTTTTAGAAAGGCGTTTAGCAGTCATGGAAGCTTAATTAAAAAAGACAAAATGGCTGAAGATTAACCCTTTAAGTCTACTAAATATGAAAGGAAAAGTATGGAGATCAATTTGGAGAATTTGTATGTGGATCAATTAGGGCTGGTTAATGCAGGGATCAACTCTTGGTGTCCATTACCAGGTATCCATCTCCAGAGCTGGTGTTCAAAAAATGTATTTTTCTAGGCAGGTGTTATAAAATACCTGTCTTTTCCCTTGGTTTTTCACCTTCTGTGCTGGCAGGAACAACTTTGCTGTCTATGGAAGGTGTTTCACTGTTGGAAAAAGAACTGAAGTTCAGTCCTTTCTCATGATTGCTTAGTCCTCCCTTCAGATTGTGGTTTCTCACCACAATCTGTGCACAAAAGTAAGGAAGATTAAAATACTGATACTGAGTAATTTATGTTTTTAAGCAGCAAAAGATCGTTACATAAATTCACAACAGATATACGCATACGGCCAAAAACAAATTAAACAACAACAACAAAAAACGTTTATTATCTTATCAGCAAGAAAGTATAATACTGGGACAGAGAGGAAATCTTAGGGCGTTGGTCGGGATATGTGAATTTCGCTCAAGTTATTCGGGGAGCCTGAAACGAAAGTCTAATTCCTGAGACGCCCGCTTCAAATCCACATATAAAGTCCTACAAAAAATGCAGAATATTTTAATGGCGATCGTTGTTGAATTCTCCCCTGGCAACGCTGAATAAAAGTTTGCAGACGTCTCCGTTGAGCGATTTTGAAGGATTTTGAGTTCGCTGTTATTAAGAGGAACAGTAATCAGCGAACTCGAAATCCTTCAAAATCGCTCAAAATACCACTTCTTAGGCAAAAGGACGACAATTTACCGAAGGTAAGATAACACAAAGTTTATCGTATAGTCCAGTAAAGGGCCGGGGGGGGGGGGGGGGGGGTCAACTATAGCTAAATGGATTATTTTATCAATGTCTTATTTCAAATAGCTTTTGCTTATAAAGTTTCAACGCTTACGAGTCACAGAGAAACATACATGTACTCAGTAATTACATAAAAAGATACAGTGGAAGGTTTGAACCCAGGAGTTATTTCAGTAGGTTAAGTTGGGTATGATCCTCCGGGTTGTCGTAGTCCTGAATAGGCCTGGGGAATAGTTCTGGGAATTCTTGGTGGGTGTGTGCCACGCGGTTCTCCAAGTCCTGACCCTATTTCAGAACGAATAATGTCATTATTCACAACCATTTACAGACCTGGCATCTTAGTAATTATGTCAACATTACTTAGATTAGAACGGCAACAAAAAAGATTTCTTAAATTCCATTTCGAATTCGCATATTTCTCTTTCTTTCTTCCTCATTTGAAATTGAAACGATAAATACGTTTATCGTTTCCATTTCAATTTATTCCCTCGAAAACCATACCCGTTTTTAGACCAAAACGGAGCAACAACAGGAGCTTAGGCTCCTGGCAAAAACCACATGCACCCTTTGGGGTAGCACTTACATATAGGGCTTATATGAGGGAGTACCCCAGGGTGCATAGGACTGTTTTTGTTGACAGTGACAGCCATTGTCAACAACAGTTCTAGACGATCCTCCACCCACTTACACTGCATATAACATAAATTTTAAATTCAGTTTATTATAAAGAGTCAGATAAAGGGTACAAATTTGTACTGAAAAATAAAGCAACGCATTAAAGACTAAGAAAAATGCGATTACAGACACCGTAAAAGTAATCATTAATTTACAGGCAGTTATATACAAGGATCATTATGTCTAATAAATTTGTCTATTTTACAAGTTGCTGGATGGTTTGGTCAGTGTGTTTCATGTATTTGCATAAGTTACCCATTGCCTCATGATCAATTTAATGCATTAACTCTTATTAATAATGTATAATGCAGACAGGATTGTAAATAAATTACCGGATAGACTCTTGGAAATACAGATTTGTAAATTGTTAGTCAAATTGTCAGTTCTCCAGTTGTTCTCTCGTAGTCGGTTTTGCTTGATCTCGTCAATGTACAGTGCTGGAAACTGTTGGCTACCATTTGATTTGATCTTTCGTCTGTAAATGGAGTTCAGCAATACATGTGACTGTTGACGTCACCATTTCTCGTCGCTCGTTTCGCGTTTGTGTTCGGTCAGTCGGGTGCTCAGGTTTCTGCCGGTTTCACCAGCTCCCTGTCTGTCCTCCGGTTTGTCTTTGTCCTTGATATTAGCAAGTAGCTATATAGTCGTCGTGGAGTGGTTACCGGTTTGTGTGCAACAAGTATATTGATATACGTCCACTGTTTTACGTTTTGAAATTTTAGAGTACTCGTGATAATAACAGTGTATGTGAGGAAGGCAGTTCTTGATTTTTTTTTTTTTTTACTCAAACAGTGTTATTTTTGTGTATGGTTTCTTTAATGTTTCGTATGCTCTTTGTTCCAAACTTTACTTAAGAGAGTAAACAGTTAGTATTTCCTGTCTTCCGTTCGGTTTTAAGAGACCTTTCCTGAATAGGTATGTCAAACTCGGTAAGGATGGCAAAAAGTTGTAGGTTGGATCGATAAATTAATAGTTGAGGCGCTATGTCCGGTTGCAACCAAACAACTATGTTTTAATCAAATTAAGGATCGCAAAGTGAAATTTTGGAAGCACATTAGGGGTCATTTTGCGAGCAATATTAATAAAGCCATATTAATAAAGTTCTGACTCACCAGATTCGACGCTCTTAACGCCGGATCACGCTAACAGTAGCATGAGTATCCATGAGCTGTCAGTTGACGACAGCCTCGTCGTACTGGAAAGGTAGCATTGACAATTACTTAAATAATTACGAACTGACACTTGTTTACAAATAAACTGAAATTTACACATTCTGGAAAACTTGATTTCTAAACAAGCCCCCCCACGAGAACTCTTGTAGAGCCTCCCTTTGCTTATGAATGGGTAACCAGTCAGGCGTGTGATGTTAGCGTGTCGAAAGGGTTTTGCCTATACCTCTCTTACCCAAGACAAATGCTAAGCTAAGAAGGATCTTATAAAGGGAAGTCAATGTTGCTCTGCAAACAAGAGTTTGCAAACTATTTCCAAATTTTTGAATATGTACAGTCATTTGATAAAAGCTTTACCTGCTTGCACAACACAACTGGTAAAAAGGAAAGTTGTCGTCAAGCAATTTTATAAATAGAAAGCGGAAAAATAGAACAATGAGCGATGTTTTTCCGCATTACTCTTATTAGTTGTATATGCAGCCCTTTGAAAGCAATCCACAGTCATTTGACCGGCCGTTTCGTCGTGCTCAGGAACAGGAAAGAAAAATAACGAGCTGAAGTGATGAATTCCTACCTTGTCTTAGTTTGCAGCATTTGTATTTCCTTCAGTTGGACTGGTCTGTCGAAGTTGGTTCACAAAGGTAATCACTGATAGTGAGTCTAATGATTACATAAAACCAAAAACTAATTCGACAGTCTTTAGTATCGAATAAAATTTAAGGCAAGGTAGTAGAACATAAACATTATGTTCCTCAAGCTCTATGATGAGTTATAGTACCCGCTCAGTAATTTCTAGAGTTTTCTCTGGCACTGTTCTTCGCTCATACACCTGTTACGCTTGTACTTAGAGTGTGGGCTACTTGGATAAAACGTAACTTAGACCTCAAAAGGTATCTTAGACCGCGGGCTAAGATAATTGTTAAGACAACATTTTTTTTTGTAAGTCGTTTATTTTACGCAGATTATAAACTACCAATGGACGACCCAAATTCAAAATAACCTAGCACAGTTTGTGCAACACTGCCTTAACTCTGTTTAAATAACCGACCCAGGACAGAAAGCTAAGTAACAGAATACAGTTAAAACAAAGTCGGCTCTTACATAACAGTAAGCAGTAAGAGACAAAAAGCAAGTTGCATTATTGTTTGCTAAAGTAAAACATAGTACTACATGTATTTCAGATGAATGCTTAGCTTAATTTATGGATCTAATGGACTGTGTTAAAAGTTCGTAAATTAATTCCAGTAGCTAGTTTTGGATGACATAAATGCAGGGAAATTATTGTATATGCTGCCTACAATGCCCGTTTTAAATACACTGTCGGCATTTTTCAAGAACCGCACCTGGTCTTTTCGTAGCCATATGATGACATATAATAATAGGATTTTATGGCGATGCATTAATTAAGGCAAAGGCCTCCAGGGTCCAAGCTATCGGAATCTTTCAGCGAACACGTAATCTCAAATACAATGCCTTTTGACACAGATAAAAGACAACATATATTTTCAAATTAATTAGTTTCGAATGTTTAAACTCGCAGTCTTGGTGCAAAACTGCATTTTTTTAAAATGGTAAAATAGTTTTGAATACTTTTAGGCTATAATTGACCTTAGTGACACTGAAAAGTCGACAGAAAAAAAACGCTACAGACGTCCGTATGTCTTATTCGTTCAGAAAATTAATAGTTTCCTCATGGGACCAATTTTTACATTAATCAATAAAATAATACGGTATTTTTTTTATCATTTATCTTTGTTTATTTCTCATCCAAGAGAGAAGGAAATAAAATTTGAAATCAATTTTCTTTAACTCTACCCCCCTCCCCCCCTCCACCCCTTCCCACCCACGCAATTACATTAACGGTGAAGCCAAAAAATAATTACGTAAATCCTTTATTAAGGCCCGGCCCGGCCCGGTATAAGTACTCCATAAAGAACTAAAATATACGGTGGAAAAGCTAAAGTACAAGAAGTCAAAGGTATCTGATACAGGCGAGGATCAAAAACAAATCCGAACTTCCAGTTGTTGAATACACTATCCTGGGTCAGTCCAAATGAAGTTTTACAGTCGCGATTGATTTATACAGTCTATCATAAATTATTGAAGGAAAATAAGGGGGAGGGTCGAGATAGGGGGGATTAAATTTCTTCCCCTAAAAATTGGGGAGCTTGTTAGAGAGAGGGGGCTTATATGAGGGAGGGGGTGGGGGCGGGGGCTTAATTAAGTGTATTTACGGTAATGAACACTCACTAGGCCTGAGTTTTTCCGCTTTCATTCAAAAGCTTGCTTAGAAACAGTGGCAATTAAAGAGGGAAACTCATCAGGCAGCAAGCAAACATTTAGCAAACTATTTCGTGCTATTCCCGATCTTTGATATACGGCATGTACAAGCACCCGTGTATTCTTCCAGTAGCCTCCATCTTGCAGTCTTTTATACGGGAACCTATGTGTAAGAAAAGTGAAATAACTTTCAAAAGCAATTGAATAACTTAAGCTGGTGTTTAATTCAAGGCAAAAATGATTTAATAAGGATTAGATATCATGTTCTAAAGGAGCAATTTAAATCAACAAAAACAAGAGAAGTGAATATTAAGCCTTTGTTTGGCCGTTTAAATATTTCTAGTCAGACGTGAACCAACAACTCCATTATGGTCGACTGATCATATGTTGTGTCGAGACCTGTTATGGAGCTTTTTATGCATTAAATGTTATTGAAATATTCCAGCGTGCAATTAAAGGACATTTTCAGCAAGTTTAAAGACTGTCCTGTTCAACTGCCGAGGTAGACTAAGTAGACATTCTTATAAAAAAAAAAAAAAATAGTACGTCACTTGGGGAATACCTAATTTCGTCATTAGTTCATTTTCCCTCACATAAAGGCTCGGGAAGTCAATAAGTATTTTGACAAAACGTGCGTCAAATTTTTTTCCGATCGTAATGTCACTTGTCAACATATGATTAAACATACTTAAGACCTAACAAAACCTTTAGTGATTATATTTGAAAGTGAATTATTAAAGATACACAATGGCCCAAGTTTTCCGCATTCACAAGAACAACTAAAGAACGAAACTTAGACCAAAACAATTCTGTAGGAAGCGAGATGCGGTGTCAAGTTTTCCTGCAGTTTATTATAACAATAAGCTCATTCTCGATCTCTTGATTAAAATAAGCAAGGGCCTAGACCTCAACCGGGTATTAACTTCTTGAATACGAACATAGTTGACACTGCCCGTTATGAATCAATTCACAGTCATGAGGGACACAATTGAAGACCGTGTTAATTTGCATTAGACATCAAGTTTATTGGTCAATCAATGGTCTTTGAATTGAAAACAAATAAATAAAGCAAAAGGACCCTCTATTATTTAATTCCACGCAGTACAAGTTCCTTTCAGAGGGCTTTAAAATAATATACTAGTTTGCTTGACCTTTAGCTAGCATTTTTGTTCTTTTTAGCCTTCGAGACACATAAATCAAAATTAAGTCTTTTCTGATTGATCTTTAGTCAATTAATTGGTCTGTGTTGAGAGTAGAAGACGCAACACTTGAAACATCCAGTTTCAGTTAACAACATCCATGTGGATCAGGAACGCCGGGGCGACCTGTGCTTTGGTTGAACCGCGCTTTGTTGTAAAATATCGCAAACGAAGAATTACGCTTGAGTTCTTCTATGTTAGCAGTTAATTTCTTCGTCTCCGCTGCCATTTCGGGTGATTAGAACACAGAAATAGCCAAAAAGAAATGAAAATTTCACCGAAAATTCCCACTTTCCACTTTTTGGCAAATTTTAGCAATCTCTAGGAATCCTCTAAGAGAGAGAGAAAGAGAGAGAAAGTATATCTATATTGCATGACATTTGCCCTGGTAGTAGGTGGGTTTAAAATTTAGGGCTTTCATGTCGTTAAATTAATGACGTCATGGTTTCTTGCAGACGTCAACCCTTGTAAATCAAACAACCACAAGGTGCTCTCCGAGCCTGATCGGGCGGCAGGGTTTATAATAATTAAAAGAAAAAAAAAAAAGTACGTCACTTGGGGAATACTTACGTCATTAGTCTATTTTCCCTCGCATAAAGGCTCGGGAAGTCAATAAGTATTTTGACAAAACGTGCGTCAAATTTTTTTCCGATCGTAATGTTACTTGTCAACATTTGATTAAACATACTTAAGACCTAACAAAACCATTAGTTATTATATTTGAAAGTGAATTATTAAAGATACGCAATGGCCCAAGTTTTCCGCATTCACAAGAATAATTAAAGAACGAAACTTAGACCAAAACAATTCTGTAGGAAGCGAGATGCGGTGTCAAAGTTTTCCTGCAGTTTATTATAACAATAAGCTCATTCTCGATCTCTTGATTAAAATAAGCAAGGGCCTAGACGTCAACCGGGTATTTTTTATTTAACTTCTTGAATACGAACATAGTTGACACTGCCCGTTATGAATCAATTCACAGTCATGAGGGTCACAATTGGAGACCGTGTTAATTTGCATTAGACATCAAGTTTATTGGTCAATCAATGGTCTTTGAATTGAAAACAAATAAATAAAGCAAAAAGACCCTCTATTATCTAATTCCACGCAGTACAAGTTCCTTTCAAAGGGCTTTAAATAATATACTAGTTTGCTTGACCTTTAGCTAGCATTTTTGTTCTTTTTAGCCTTCAAGGCACATAAATCAAAATTAAGTCTTTTCTGATTGATCTTTAGTCAATTAATTGGTCTGTGTTGAGAGAAGAAGACGCAACACTTGAAACATCCAGCTTCAGTTAACAACATTCATGTGGATCAGGAACGCCGGGGCGCCCTGTGCTTTGGTTGAACCGCGCTTTCTTGTAAAATATCGCAAACGAAGAATTACGCTTGAGTTCTTCTATGTTAGCAGTTAATTTCTTCGTCTCCGCTGCCATTTCGGGTGATTAGAACACAGAACTAACCAAAAAGAAATCAAAATTTCACCGAAAATTCCCACTTTCCACTTTTTGGCAGATTTTAGCAATCTCTACGAACCCTCTAAGAGAGAGAGAGAGAAAGTATATCTATATTGCATGACATTTGCCCTGGTAGTAGGTGGGTTTAACATTTACGGGGAGCTTTCATGTCGTTAAATTAATGACGTCATGGTTTCTTGCAGACGTCAACCCTTGTAAATCAAACAACCACAAGGTGCTCTCCGAGCCTGATCGGGCGGCAGGGTTTATAATAATGGACCAGCCACGCAGCGACAAAGATGAGTTCAACGAGTCAACCGCTTGGTATCGGTTTAATGGCAGTGCTGGCGATCGAATGGCAAACCGTTGCGTTCCTTACAAACACTGTGGTACTGAGGCCACTGGCTGGCTGAACGGTCCTCATCCTTCTAAGAAAGACGGCATTGTTAATCGCACTGTGTGCTTTCGATCAGGGTATGACTGCTGTTTTTGGAGCATCCAAGTGAAAGTTCAAAACTGCAGTGGCTTCTATGTGTATCAACTGAAAAGAAACGTCCCTGGAGCTTACGAAAATTACCGCTATTGCGGTAATGGAAAAGGTAACTGAAAAGTTCACTCTGATATTAATTAAATGCTTATAACTTTTCTTTATTTGGGTAAATCGCCCCATGTAAGGGAATCCAAAATAGTCTTAGATTCTTGATTCCCGGCTGTGGATTCCAGATTTCAGGTACTGGATTCCAGTCAGTGGAACATGGATTCTGGATTCCAATAGTCAGTGGGATTCCGGATTCGTTTAGCTGTATTCCGGATTACAAAGCCCAGGATTCCTGATTTCAAAATAAAAAACTTCCCAGGTAGCAAAAATTTCTCCGATTCCAGAATCCAGATTGCATACCTTAAGATTGAACTTTAGGAAATGTTACTTATCTTTGACAAAAAAGGCGATTTGGATTAACCGCGACAAAATTTGAGTGACGACGAGGAAGCATTCCATTAGAAACGTTTTGCTGCCATACATCACCCTAGTTGCATGTAACTAAAGCTTTTTGTTCTCTCTTCTAGAGCCTGATCCATGCGACAGGCGATTTTATAAGGTGCTAGATGAAGACGATAGAGCAAGAGGATTCGTCACCGGAAGTGTCATCAAATGTGATTTAGAATCCGAAGATGCAGTGATGTACAACAGGTGGAGTCGGTTTAACGGCTCCGCAGGGGTTGCCATGCCAACCAAATGTGTTGATAAAATGCGGTGTGGAGCGGAGGCTCCCGGATGGCTGCGTGATAAACATCCCAGAGTGAATCAAGGTGTGGTCACACGAAAAGTTTGCTATCACTGGGGCGGTGATTGCTGCTTCTACAAAAATGACATTCAAGTCAAAAACTGTGGTGACTTCTTTGTTTACAAGTTTGAGAAGCCGCCGGCGAGTTATCTGCGGTATTGCGGCAATGGCAAAGGTAATCATATATTGTATATTCAAATGGACTGCGTTACAGGTATAACGAAATCTGTATTGATGACAGTTGTTACCATTGAGATGGGGCGAAATTTTTTTTATCAAGGTCAAAATAGTAAAGTGAAACTGATATCAAGTTGATTCAACGTTATTGCTTTATATTTAGGTCCTTCGAAAAGCAGTAATCCTGATACTTGTGAGGCTGAAGTTGAGTCAGTTGATTATGAAGGTAAGATTTAGCGCAGGACCGTGATCACAACGAAGATGGCGCGACTAGAGCGTTCACATTCCTCTATTATTATCATTGTTGTTGTTGTTGTTGACGATAAACGCATGGATTGCATGAGCTACATCTTTCTAGTTTCAGCGTAGAACGGCGGTCTATAGCGGGCGGCGGAGCAGGGGGTCGGGGTTCCGTAGCCCCTCCAAACAAAAATTTGAGCCTCCCCCCGCCGCCGCCGAAAAACGCCAAAAAACACTTTAACAGATCTATTTGACAATACCTGTAACATCGGGACTTAAGAGCGCACATTTTCTGCCCTAAGACGACTCAAGAACTACCTAAAAAGCACCATAAAGCAAGACCACCTGAACAACTGCCTATACTGATGCATGATCACAAATTGATTACGGACAAACTTGACACTGTGAAGTCAGCCTCTTTCCCAGGTTTAGGAGAGAAACCTGGGGACCATGTTGACTGTGAAGATTGGAGAGACATTTGCTTGTACCAACGAACGACGCAAAGGGCATTTTGGAAAATCTGAGTAGGGGAATGCGTATGGCTGAGTTTCAAAACATCAGTCCGCCTCCTCTGCCACATGATCACTTTTAGCCCACACTTTTAAAAATAGCTATAGGCATTGAATGAGGACTTGCGAACAAAAATGTCTGGTTCTTAACACATGTACACAGACTGGATGAAGAGTTGATCATAAGTTGTCCAATAAGGTACTTGTGATGACGACTAAGACATATACTTTTGGTTTTTAAGAGCATTAACTAATTAATCCTTGCCTGCTATCTTGTGTTGTGAGGAGCTGGCATTTAGTGGTGCCCGCTTCGCACTCTCCTAGGTAATAAAAGGCCTTTGGACTCCACTTTGACCCTACAGTGTGGTCTGACGGCTATGCCATACTGATGAGCCCTAATACCGCTGTCACTGCCTGGGTGATATAGCTGTGCGCATGCGTATGGTAGTAGCCAGACCGTGGTTTGCTGTACAAACGTGTGTCACCGGCTTCGAAGTTCGTTTTGTTGTCTTTCGTGATATACATGATATTTGGTAGAAAATGCATTGTTTGTCTCGTAGAAAACCCTTGTTTAACTGGTGAATACATCGAGCTGTCTGAGCAGGACCGCGCAGCTGGATATTTAGCTACAGGCCGTGAAAGGTGCGATGGAAGCAAGTTCGCTAAAAAGGAAGCGTGGTATCGCTTTACTGGGAACGCAGGTTGCAGAATGGCTGAGGGATGTGTTCCTGGGAAACACTGCACCAGTGGAGCTGCAGGCTGGTTGAATGGATCTCATCCTCGAGACGAGGACGAAGGAGCAGTAAACAGAACTGTCTGCTTTCGCTGGAAGGACGACTGCTGCAAGAGGAAGATTCAAATCAAAGTTCGCAAATNCCAGACCGTGGTTTGCTGTACAAACGTGTGTCACCGGCTTCGAAGTTCGTTTTGTTGTCTTTCGTGATATACATGATATTTGGTAGAAAATGCATTGTTTGTCTCGTAGAAAACCCTTGTTTAACTGGTGAATACATCGAGCTGTCTGAGCAGGACCGCGCAGCTGGATATTTAGCTACAGGCCGTGAAAGGTGCGATGGAAGCAAGTTCGCTAAAAAGGAAGCGTGGTATCGCTTTACTGGGAACGCAGGTTGCAGAATGGCTGAGGGATGTGTTCCTGGGAAACACTGCACCAGTGGAGCTGCAGGCTGGTTGAATGGATCTCATCCTCGAGACGAGGACGAAGGAGCAGTAAACAGAACTGTCTGCTTTCGCTGGAAGGACGACTGCTGCAAGAGGAAGATTCAAATCAAAGTTCGCAAATGTGCCGGGAATTTCTTCCTCTATTTGCTGAAGCGAAACCCATGGAAAAAGGTCTCCTGTAGTTACCGTTACTGTGGCAACGGAGAAGGTAAGGATCGCACAAAATCAAGTAGCCTGCGAGTAAACTCCTCATTGGCCATTTGCCCCTAAAATTTTGCCTAATCGTTGTCTTCAGTTTCTCTTGGGACGACTGAAACATCCAGTGGAAATGAAAAACGAATGTTATGCAAAAGTTTGGTGGTGGTGGAGGGGGAGTTGGTTGGTGCAAACGAGGTGTATCATGGGATATGTGCAAGTGGTTAATTTGGGGGAGACGTGTCCCTTACGACTCGCTTCGTTTGCCAAAAATGGCCGCTCTTAGGCTAAAAATCAAGTTATCAAGTATGGTGCTTTCTCGAAAAACTTTTTTTGCTAAGCATTTTAGAGAAGTGCTGACCCATTGATGATTGTTTTTCTTTCAGCATAGAACTTTTTAACAAAGCAATAGATTTATGCTTAATATTCATCTTTCTTTGCATTACAAGTACTTCAAAAGAAGAAATAAAACTGAACACTCATTAAGTTTTTTCCTGGCTCTGTATTTTCAGGGCCACCACACATAAGAAAAGTTCCAACGACAAAAGGTAAGTAAATTGTTGTAGGAGAAACAAAAACAGAACAAAAACCGATTATCCTTTTAGGCGAAGTAACCCATTCGTCTTTATATAAAATGTCCCTTACTCGTTAGATTATAATTATTCAGTAAGAAGGAAGCAAGTGCTTTTGATCGCCTTCTACCAGGGAGAGGACAAAGGTGTAGAAATTGCCGCAAGATATTTCGCCGAAAAGCATAGCACTTTACATTGTTAACCTCAAGTTTTCTCTTTCACTACATCAAATTTTTAGGACCTACGCCTACAAAAACGCCATCGACGGCGAAAGGTAACATAAGAAGCGTTTTTAACTTTAAAAGGGAATTAGTTGCTGTCAATTACCAGTCACCATGGGCCGAGGTACCTGTTCGTTTATAGTTCCTTCCGGTCTCATATAGTCTAGGTAGCAGGCGTCAAAACGAGTAGGGGATTGAGAGGATGGGAAAAAAGGAGGGCAGTTATATGTGGGAAAGATTTTCAAAATAAAAGCATTTTCTCGCTGTTCTAAGCTTTGTTTTTCTCCGCCAAACTTTACAAAAACGCTATTGACGGCGAAAGGTAAGACAAGTGAATTTTGTATCTTTTACAAAGGAGTAACGCCGCTGCTAAGCAGCTTTTAACATGTTTAAGTTCCTGTTTCATTTGTTGTTCCTTCTTTCATAGGGAGGAATCGGGAAGACTTTATTTTGCTGAAAAAAAAAAATAGCACTTTAATTTTCACTGTGAAGTTCTAAAAGTTTTCTTTTTACCGTCATTTTCTTAGGGCCCACGTCTACGAAAGCGCCACCGACGAAAGGTAAAATAAACAAAGTTTTCTCGATATTAATTATGATGCTGTTCACAGCATCCTTAGTTCAGATAATACATTGTATGCCAGAAAGATTTGTTTTAGCCCTAAAAATGGAGCCGTTTCGGTAAATAAAATACAGTCCTATTTTTTTAGTCTCATTTGGCTCATTTATAATCAGGGCCAGTACATTCCAATTACCTGGGGCTGATTTAGACCCAAGGGCTGAAATGGGCCCAGCGTGGGCTGGAATAACCTTTTGAATGGCCTGTCTTGGCTTCAATTGTGCTCAAATGGCTTCAGAAGGGGCTGAATCAGACTTTGGCCTGTGGGGCTGAATTGACACTTTGGGGCTGAAACAGATCTTTTTAATTTTTAGTGTAATTCCCGTTATGTGTGGGGAGGCTCAAAGAGAAACGGAAAGCGGACAGAGTAGAAACGATAGTACGGTGACTGGTGTGATGCTACCTATCTAGCAAAGTCTTTATTGAGATTTCTGAAATGCGATTATTTTTTTCTCCGTTACAGTCTCTGTCAGACCTTCTCAGCCTCACACGCTTCCTCAACAAGGTAACAAAATAGATGTAATGAGCAGTTTTCTTTTTCCTCGTCTGCCAATCATATCAAAGGTCCATGAGAAGAAGGGCTAAGCTCAGCCGAACTGGTTTATCTATTACATACTAACCCTAGCCCAACAAACATTAGGATAATGGGAAAATCATCCCAAATTTGGCACTTAGCGTCCGGAGGCTGGGGTCTTCGGTTAATCAACTTTTTAGCTCATACGAGGGAAGCCTCTAGCAGACTCACACGCGGATCGAATGATAGGGAGGGAAGGCTAAAAAACTCGCAGTTATAGCGAATTTTGCTCATGCGTAGATGTATGACTGTCTAAAATGAGATTTTTGCCTTCCTTCGCCTCTCTTCTCTTCGTAATTTTTTACAGCAACTTTTCCTTTACTATTTACAGAAGAAGTTGATGTCAAATGTGGAAAGAATGAAATGTGGATCAGCATTCCGAAATACATTCTTCACGGCCTTGATCGAGAACACCTTCGCCTTGCTNTCAAAGAGAGACGGAAAGCGGACAAAGTAGAAACGATAGTACGGTGACTGGTGTGATGCTACCTATCTTGCAACGTCTTTATTGAGATATCTGAAATGTGATTATTTTTTTCTCCGTTACAGTCTCTGTCAGACCTTCTCAGCCTCACACGCTTCCTCAACAAGGTAATAAAATAGATGTAATGACCAGTTTTCTTTTTCCTCGTCTGCCAATCATATCAAAGGTCCATGAGAAGAAGGGCTGAGCTCAGCCGAACTGGTTCATCTATTACATACTAACCCTAGCCCAACAAACATTAGGATATGCAATGGGAAAATCATCCCAAATTTGGCACTTAGCGTCCGGAGGCTGGGGTCTTCGGTTAATCAACTTTTTAGCTCATACGAGAGAAGCCTCTAGCAGACTCACACGCGGATCGAATGATAGGGAGGGAAGGCTGAAAAACTCGCAGTTATAGCGAATTTTGCTCATGCGTAGATGTATGACTGTCTAAAATGAGATTTTTGCCTTCCTTCGCCTCTCTTCTCTTCGCAATTTTTTACAGCAACTTTTCCTTTACTATTTACAGAAGAAGTTGATGTCAAATGTGGAAAGAATGAAATGTGGATCAGCATTCCGAAATACATTCTTCACGGCCTTGATCGAGAACACCTTCGCCTTGCTGATGAAAAATGTACAGCCACCGAGACGAAAACACACTTCATACTACATACAAATTTGACCGACTGCCACACAAGAAAAACGCACACCAAAAATTTCGTTTGCTACATGAACACGGTATTAGAAATCCCAGTAGCGCCAAATCAGATTATCACACGGGTGCGTGAGGTGGAAATACCATTTAGCTGTTACTACTCAAACATGGGCGTCGTCTCCGCTGTTGGCCTCAAAGTTCAAAGCAAGAAGATCATCTTCTCTAAGAAAGGCTTTGGAAAATTCGTGTTGGAAATGAAAATATTTCCAAACAACAAGTTTATCTCTCCCTACAGGAAGGAAGATTTCCCCATATATGTGCCTCTGAGGAAAGTCTTGTATATTGAAGTCAGTGTAGACTCAAAAGACACCAGGTTGGCCGTTTTGGCAGAGGAGTGCTTTGCTACACCAGATCCTAATCCTAATAAACCTGGATTGAGATATATATTCATCAAGAATGGGTTTGTTAGATCTCTAACACTAATTTACTTATTAACTTACGTAGCAGGCACTGGCTTATTCTAAGTGTTTTTGAAACGGAGAACAAATTGCGCGCTACTGCATCGCACGTAAGGTAGTGTACGGACAATTAAAGCAGTCCCTTGGGTGGGACATTTAGAGCGACTTGTGATCTTACCCTATTATAAAATTGTGCTACAGCAAGTTTATAAGCTTAAATCAACTTTGTGTGATAACGGCACTTCTCCCTTACTATCAGAGTGACTACCATTTTAACAAAGTGGTCTGCATTGTTCATTTGCCGTTTTTCGTAAAGCAGGAACCACTAGCATAATTAAGCCAGTTAGAAGAATTTTACCTGACTTCTTCCGTTTCCTCACAGTCATCCAAGATTAACGTTGTGTGCATGAGATGTATTTTCTCAGCTTTTGCATTCAAAATCTCTCATCCCTTTTAGGTATGCATGAGTTAGTTTTCTTGCGAACCGAAAGGAAACCCAAATAGAATAAATATTTTGAGTTCACAAGAGTTCTCATTCAATGTGGTTCGGCAGACATCGTCTCCCATTCCTCTATCGTCTCTAACAAGTATTCTAAAATTTTCTGACATTTCTTGCAGGTGCAAGCAAGACGATACTGTCACTTTCATTCAAACAGAAGACAAACAGACTCAGCATTTCAGCATCGAAGCCTTCAGTTTCCTTGGCGATCATCAGTTTGTCTTCATGCATTGCAGAGTCAAGATTTGTAACGCAACAGATCCCCAGTCACGCTGCGCACAGGGATGCCTACAGCAGCGACGTAAGAGATCCCTGTGGACCAACCTTGGGAGAGATGAGGAGTACAGTGTGTCTCATGGACCTTTTATGAGGAAAGATGAAGAAGAACAAGTAAGGGATGTTCAGGATTCTACAGACGACTTACTCAGGAAGGATATCAAAGGTAAAGCATTATAATCAAATACAGTAAATTGCAGTTTATAACCTCTTGGGGTCCCCAGTTATAGGTCCATGTACCTGTAATCAATAAGATGGTACACTCGGTTATAAGCTTGTCTCAAGCCTTTGTTCCAAATGTGTTGAAATGAACTCAAATTCAGATTATTCAAATTCAATTCTGTAATGATTTTTTTATATTATGACGTTTTGAAGATTGAAAAAACAAAACAAGTGACTGGAAAACGTATTTTGATCAGCACTGCTAGTTTGTCTCGAAACACTTCTCTAATCCATTTATGAGACTTATGAATTCCTCGTGAAACACCTTAGAAGATGTATTAGTCCACTTCTTATAAGCAGCAGTTTCCTTCAAATCAACTTATGTCCACCATTCTTAGGCTCTTGCAAGCCAGAATGCGACGAATTCGAGAATTCGCCTTAGAAGTAAAAATTGAAATGTTAGAAACACTATTTACACTAATTATAATTTCGTGTTACAGGTGATGAGAGCAATCCGACTTTGATCATTGCTATGGCCTTGACCAGCGCGATATGTGTGACTGGAATGACATACATGCTGTGGTCAAAGAAAAAACAAACCAAATATGGCTACCGTCCGCTAACACAAACAAAACTTGACTGATACCTAAAGGCACAAGTTTTATCTGAGGCTAATTTTAATTGCTAAGTTTTACAGAGTGTAAAGAAAGGTGGGCTTGACCAGAGTGGGGTGGAGCGGGGAATGCTTTGCATCAGTTTAAATTGCATGTAAGAAAAACAAACAAACAAACAAAAAATACTGACCGTTTTGAGATTATTACTCGTGCCAATCGTCTTCTCATAAATGAATCGTTATGAATAGTAAGTCCTCTTCTTAATTGATAAAGAAAAAGATTGATCGCTAGAAGAATTATTGAACAGTCCTTACAGTAAATAGTTAACGCCCTGCTGAAATTGCCCTCCTCCACCCTACTCAACCATGCACTCTAACCTCTCAAAAGCAAGGGATAAATCCACTAATTATTTTATAAGGGGTCCAAGTTGTGTGCGCAGTGTTGGTGGTTAAAATTACAGGATAGTTGTATGCAAGCTAAAACTTCTTCCATCTGGTCTGATAATCTTCCCTTGAAGGGTGACGATCCTCCCTCAAGACATGAAAAACGCCTGCTTGTAACATCTTTTTTAGTGTTTTTATTTTACTTCTGACAAGCTTCTTGTCGAATTCCTCTCAGTGTTATAGCTAATGGTATTTTAATCACAGGATTGGGCATCCTTTTTCCTCGTCAAGCAAGCGCCGAAGGGGTGGTTAATCAGTTAATCGATCTTTTCCACTAGTCCTCTTACATGAAAAGGTTTGTTTGGCCTTTGAAATTGGTTTTCAATCGAGGGATCAAGTACCTTCTGACCCAAATTAAGTAGCATTTTGTCGAGTTTGGCACCTGGAGGTATGGCGGGTTTGCGAGGCCTGACAGCATGCTTCCCCTCGAGCACAGGTGACGCCCCCTCTCCCCCTCTTTTTTATATCCCTTTTGTTTTGATCATCCTCTTTATTTTCCTCGGTTAGCCCTTTCCCTGGAGCTTCGTGAGGTTCTGCGAGGCAATTGTTTTTATGGAGTTTATTGCATTGTATTTATTTATTTGCACCATGCACGGTATATAATTTTACTGACTATTATTGTGTTAATATTAAAAAGTCATAAGTCCTTAAAGGAGCAGGAACTCTATCTCAGATCTATCAATGCTGAATTAAATAAACAACACTTCTTACTGCACAGGCGTAGTGTATCTTGACGTAAACTCCGCCCTTCAAATAGCCTGCGCCACAGACTGCGAAGCAGGCTACATTACAAGCAAATTCCTTGAATCATTGCCTAAATAGCGGAAAATTTTGCAACTTTTTTCTCTTTACGATGACGGGCCCAAACAATTCTTCATTTATTGATTTGACTGATCTCAGCCGTTGGCAACGTCACGATCGAGAAAAGATGTAGAAAAACCTCTAACTCAGTTCTTTACTACAAAGAAACGTGGAATAATTATAGATTAGTACGCCAAATCAATAATACGGCGGTTTGGAAACTGTTTGGTTGTTTTGTTTCGTCTTTTTGTAGCCTTCGAAATTACAAAAAGAGCCCAGCATTACGCTTTACCCTGATTTACGCATGTCTTGTATTTCAAAATCGCGCAAGTCTACTTTCGTTTAGTCGGTTGTAGAGTGTATGAGAGTCATTTAAAAAACGAATGAGTGATAAACACTTTTTGAAAACATCCAAAAAGTAGCAAATTTGTCCGCATTGAATATAGCCTTCAGTTCATACATAATTTATACCCTTTTTGTAGAAATTCCAAGATATCTCGAAATTCCTCTTACAGATTTTTGTGGAACTTTGCACAACAGAAGACAAGCACCCAAAGTATAGGTCACGTCAAGCATCTCTAAAGGAAATGCCGATAAGGGATCAATTCGATTTAAAGCTAAAACTGTTATGGTGTCATTGTCAGGTGATATTATTCCGATCGCCCAAAAAATAACTCGATATCATAATTAACAATTATTCTACGAGTGCGCGTTGGCTATAATCAGCTCATATCCGGCAAGCGCGAGTGGAATAATTGTTTTATCAAAAACGCCCACAAAATATCGAGAATTCTTCCCGACTTTATTTGCAAAAACAACCGATTTTCAGCTTGTTTTTCATTTTGAGCACACGCTTACAGTTACCATATTTGGAGAGCATGGCATTATGGCTCAGTGACCATGATGGCTAGGCCAATCAGATCTCTAGAATTGCATTCAATGATTCAGTTTTTAATAATAAAGGTTAGTCTATGCGTAATACATGTGTTGTAATGGTTTTACATTAAAAATATCTTTGGTTAAGTCGAAGAGATTCGAAGATGGAAGGTATACCTACAAAAATACTGGGTCGAGCCACCTTATATATCATTCTAAAGAAGACAGGGTAGTTCCGAGGCTTCATCGCGGGTCAAAAGTCTGAGGCTCTGAGGCTTTGTTTTAGTGGGAGTTCTTTCACTATATTATTCAGGTGGTAACATGGGCAAAGATGTAATTCAACTATCTTTGACTTTTTCTCGAAATAAAAGTTGAATTTCTTTTCGTAGAAAATTCTTCTTTTGTACTTACTGCCATTTTAACCCTCCTCCTCAAACTCATTAATACCTTGTTATTACTCCGGAGACCGAAAGAGGAAAGCGCGTTTTGGGTGCCCGAAAACGCCATTTACATACATGTGGACCGGAAGGCAAAACGGAGCAAACTCAGTTTTTAAAAATATCCGGATACATGCTAACGGGGGCATCATATAAACCTGACGTTCACATTGTCGTTTTTTCGTCGACGAACTGCACGTCCACTCACCGCGGCAATGGCCGATTTCCAAAAGTGCCGCAGTTTAGTAAAAACTTCGATTCTATTACGCGTGATTATTCGGGCCTTTTTTCTCCGTATAGGAGGCATTAGAACCTGTAGCTTTTAATATCCGACCTAAAGAGTCCTTCCAACTCACTTCTCTCGTTGAAAAACTCTTTATAGTATTGAAACAAAAAAGAGTAAATTAAATTTTAGCCCCCGGATTTTAGCAAACGTTGAAAATTGTAGTCCTTTTCCGCAATCAGATGTAGTATACAAAATTTAAATTGAAACATTGCGACACTTCTTCGGCTGATGAACGTAATGGAATAATCAGTCTCGCTATGAACAGGAACTGCATGAAAATGCCACACA